CGTCGAGCTGGACGAGGCCGCTGCCCTGTGCAGGTGCCCTGCCAGTCCGCCGAGGCCGGCGTGGGCGGCGTCAGGGTGGAGCGGCAGACCTTCGGGGAGGCCACCAAGCAGCCGGGCATCACCTTCATCGCGGCCAAGTTCGACGGCATCCTGGGCATGGCCTACCCGCTCATCTCCGTCAACAACGTGGTGCCCGTGTTCGACAACCTGATGGCGCAGAAGCTGGTGGAGAAGAACATCTTCTCCTTCTACCTCAACAGGTGCCGTCTCGCCGGCGCCCGCTGCCTCCCGCGCCCGCCAGCCCCGCCCTGCTCGCGGCGCCCCTCGGGCACGCCGGGGTGGGCGCCAGGCCTGACCCCGCCCTCCCACCCCCAGGGACCCGAACGCACAGCCCGGGGGTGAGCTGATGCTGGGGGGCACTGACCCCAAGTTCTTCACGGGCCCCATGATGTACCACAACGTCACCCGCAAGGCCTACTGGCAGATCCACATGGACCAGTGAGTGGCGGCGGCGGGCGGGGCGGCCCTGGCCTGGCAGCGCTCTGCGGGCCCCCAGCCCATCCCCGGGGCCTTGGCAGAGCCGCTAGCCGGCGAGTGGACCCGGTGGACCTCTCAGCCTGGAGGCTCGTCCAGCTGTGCTGGCCAGCCCAGGCGCCGGGGCGGGAGGCTCTGGGCACCCCCAGCCAGCTCACACCGCTCCCCGCAGGCTGGAGGTGGGCAGCGGCCTGACCCTGTGCAAGGGGGGCTGTGAGGCCATCGTGGACACGGGCACGTCCCTGGTGGTGGGCCCTGTGGACGAGGTGACGGAGCTGCAGAAGGCCATCGGGGCCCTGCCCCTGATCCAGGGCGAGGTGAGCAGCCGCTCGGGCGGGGCCTGTGGGGTGGGGGGACTCGGGACCCACCATACCCTCCCGCCCTCCCTCCCCTGCAGTACATGATCCCCTGCGAGAAGGTGCCCAGCCTGCCCGAGGTCGTCCTGAAAATCGGGGGCCAGCAGTATACTCTGTCCTCCAACGATTACACGCTCAAGGTGAGGGGCTC